ATGAACCAGGAATGGTAGACAGGGAGGAATTTAGCAAAGTCTGTTAAAATTCCTCTGAGCCCCATTGTTTCTGTGTGGCCTGGCAAACGTTTGTTTACCATTTAGTCTTTCATATTCCTGTAACCTGCCTTCCTTCCCTACCCTGGCCCCTTCATCCAAAATGACATATATACATCACTGTCCCTGACTGTCTTTAGAATCTCATATCTATGGATTCCCCCTATGTACACCATTAAGCTTTTATTTTTCCTTCTGTTAATCTGTCCATTTGATTCTTAGACCAGCTAGAAGAACCTTGAAGGGCAGAGGGAAATTTTTTCTCCCCACAAGGGCATAGCCTGATTCCCGGCAGAATAAGAAAAACAAAAAGCAGACAACAAACAAAAAAACACAGACAGGGACTGACTTTGCTGAATAACATGACTCGCTATGAGTTATAAACCAATTCAGTGCTTGGCATGTTGACCAATGAAATGAAATAAGAAAGCCCAGACACAGAACCACATATGTATGAAGCTGTGGTATGTGCATAGTTCATGTGTCACAGAAGTGAACAACGGAGAGAGTGTTCAGAAAACTGGGCCTGGCAAAATGGCCATCCATATGGAAGAAGAGATTACATTGTACCCTTACATTACACCATATACAAAAATCAACTCCAGATGCTTAAATGTTAAATATGTCTTCAAAATGAAAGTCTTTAGAAAACCGTAATAGAAATATTTTTTAAACTTTGGGGAAAGGAAAAACATTCTTAAACAAGACAAAAAAAGTTGACTATACAAGCAAAGACTGATTAAAATGATTTTTCTTTCTTAAAAAGACAACTTGAAAATAAGCTACAAATCAGAGAATATATGCACAGTAAACATACTCAATAAACATACTAACAGAAGACAAGTATAAGAATGTATTAAAGGCTCTTTTTTATCTGTGGGAGACTATATTCTTATTTGAAATGATTCAGAACATATTTCCCTACATCATTGGTTTTGGGGCTGGCCACTAACTTCCTTGAGCCCACAGAATGCGAGCAGATACGATGTGATACCCCAGCCTAGCGGAAGCTTTAAAAGCATTCCAAGCGTCTGCCAATCCTCTGTCTCCTGCACCCTTTGCCAGGAGAACGACATGTCCTAGTAAAAGCTGTTCTTGTAGTGTGGTCCCAGGGATCGAAGACATAGCCAGACCTGAACCACAGGTTAGAGGAGAGAGGCAGTTGACTTGCATGCTTGAGAGAAAAAAAGAAATGTCCCTTGTTATAAGCCACTGATATTTCAGGTTGCTTATTACTGCAGCAAAAGCTGACCAAGAAGGAAACTAGTGCCTAGAATAAAATGTGTGGTTTTGGCTTTGAGGCTGAGTGGCCAGCAGCAAGGAAATTATTATAGGGGACTAGAAAAATGGCAAGCTGTATAATGCAGTAGTGAAATACTTAGTAAAACTGTCACATATGATAATTTGGAAGGCAGAAAATATACCTACTAAATTTATGGCTCTGGAGAAGTTTGGAGACAGAGTGTTTGTGTGAGCCGGTAGTTCCTAGCTACATTTCAGAAGGTTGAAGATAAGGATGATAGCAGAAAACAACGGGCTTATCTGCAAGCAGAATTGAAAGGAAACACGGAAAGTCTGGAAATTATAGGGCTCACAGGGTTGGAAGGGGTAATTATCTGTTACTCCTAAACCTCTCCAGCCTGTAAAGTGTTCTCAAAATAGGACAACTTTAGGGGCAAAGATCTAAACAAAGGCAAGACTTTGAGCAGGGGAGACCAAATTGAGGGCATGACTGTCACTCCCTTTGTTAAAACCTCTGATGAGATTAAAATAGCTCCAGGGAATCCCATCTGTTGGACAAAATGACTCATGGGAAGCTCCCATAAAGCCTGGTAGCGTTAACTACCTGACATGTTATGTAGGGGTACAAAGAGAGGTATGTCTCAAAGTGAATTGTGAGTTTGGCTACTGACACCTCAAAAAAAAGAAAAGCTTTTGAGAAAGTTACATTGTCCAAAGTGCTGCCTGTCTAGATTAAATAAGACTGACTTTTCAGGACACAAAATGATCTTGAGCCACAGCATTCTACAGGCAGGAAGCAGACTGATGATATTGATAAAAAAAACAAAGAAAATGTCAAAAAAACATTAGACATTTCACAGAAGAGGAAACACTTCCGGCTGATAGACAGATGAAGAAATGTTCACCTCATTATTGGTCAGGGAAATGCCAAGCCAGATCAAGACCAGAAAAGAGATCTCAAATTTGGTAATTTGGTAAGCAAAGATTGCAAACTCTGACAATACTAAGTGTTGAAGCTAATGTAGATCTATGTGATCAATATATTGTTGGTATTTTTATGCAACTAATTTGGAAAATGATTAGAACCATCTCATAACAGTAAATATTCTAAGCCAGCAATTTCATTTTTTTATGTATATCTAATAGAAGTCTTGCTTATACAAAAATGTTTATAGCTGTACTGTTTACAGTGGTAACAAGATGGAAAAAAGCTCAAAATCCCATCAAGAGAGTGGATGAGTAAATAGTAGTACACTTGACCAATAGGATATTGTACAGCAGATGCAATGAATGAAACACAGGGCACTCAATGTGGTTATATATTAAGAAAATACTATTGGGCAAAAATAAGTCCTTACAATTATGGACAGTATGATATCCTTTTAGTAATTTTAAAATAGCTACAGCAAAAAAATACACATTTTAGAAACACATGCAGATTAGAACTATGAACCAGATTAGAACTAAGGGAGAGCATGGGAATTCGGGGTGTTAGTCATCATGGGTTGAAGAAGTCAGGCGAAATAGAATGGAGGGAAGGTAGGACTAGAAGTAGATTATAGACAAGGTGCCAGCTTTCATTTTGAGCTGTGGTTCACATGGGTTTATGGTATTATTACAAAGAGGTGAAACTTTAAAAGAAGAAGTTGTTTTGGTTGTTTTTTAAAAGTCACAGATCGTTAGAATTAAAAGCATCTTTAGGAGTTAGTTCTCTGCTCCCTTATTTTCCAAATGAGAAAATAGGCTGAGAACGGGGAGTGACTAACCCAAATTACTCTGTTCTTGAGTGGCTCAGCCCAGCCCGCTCCTGCTGTGATCCTCCCATCTCAGTACCAACATACCCAAGCCAAGGCTGCATCCTTCATTACTTCCCCCACATGAACCCACTTGTCAGTCCCACTCTGCGGACACACCTGAGTCCACTACTTTGTACACCTTCTGCCAGCCGAAGCCACGATCACCTCTTGCTTGGATTTCTGCTCTTGCCTCCTGACTAGTCTGCTTACATTCTCTCTTGCTCCTCCCCAAACCTGTTTTCCACACAGCTGAGAGAGAAATCTCTCTGATGAAACTTCTCAGCTGTCCTTCAAATGCACTTAGAACACAATTCAAATTCATCCTGGCCTACTGGGCTTCAGGTGAGCTGGGCCCTGCCTTCCTCTCATACTCATTTCCTGTCATTGCTGCTCTCACTGGCTTTCTTTCTGGACACTCCAGGCTGTTCTCTGCCTGCAGCAAATGCTGCCAGTACCCCGTTCAGGTCTCTCGGCCAGGCATTCCATCCCTCACACCAATTAACTGGATTCCGCCATGGAAGACTGCTCTGCCCATGAGCAGCCCTTGGCAATGACTGGCAGGAGCTTAAGGGTAACTGTCCAGGCTCCCTCGCACCTAGGTGGGATCCCTCAGGTGCTCTACATGTTTGCCTAAGTGTCCCCTTGAGGCTCAGTTTGCGTTACCCACAGTGGCAGTTGGCCTGATAACATATCCTTTATTAAGTCCTTTCCTTTCCTGGTTTTGTTCCCCACTCCCTTAATCATCCTTAATTCACTTTCCAAACAAACTGCTTTCACTTAGTTCTTTGTCTCAGGTCTTAAAGGGTAGTGTAAGCTAAGATACCACATCAGGCCTTTGCACTCATGTTCTCTCTGCCTAGAATATTCTGCTCCTCCCCTTCATATCTCCTTGTCATTCAGGTCTCAGCTCAAATGCCCCTCGGGTCTATCCCTTTGTTGTTTTTGTTGTTATGCTCTCTCACTGACTTATTCTGGTTAAAATCATCTTCTTTACATAATTAACTCGAAAAGTTCTTTCTCTCCCCCAGGGTGTTAGCTCCACAAGGGCAAGTAGTTCCCAGCACAAAGGAGAGTGCCTGCACATAGTAGGCATCCTTTATATATTTGTTAACTTAATTAATGACTGATTTTGCTGGGAGGGATGTCGAATCCTGCATCAGGAGTACGATTTACAGTAGCTGTTTGTGTGTATGCATTTCTAATTGACACAGCAAATGCTGGCCAGTAAATGGATACAGCTATTGTTTTTGAGTAGCTGGTTCTCTTTAGTGGGTTTAATCTGCTTCCAACTACTTACAAGGGCTCACAATTGCTCTGCTAATTACAAATCCCGATAAACTCTCCATTAAAGTATAGCTTCTAAGTACCTTCCACCCAATAATACTGTTAGGGGGAATTACATATGGTTAAAAGTAACAGAACCACATTTATTTAATAACAGTCTTAACTTCAACTTGCCTTTCCGTCGATGTACCCGAATTAGTAAAACCACACTGTCTTTCTCTGCTTGCTTATTTATCCATGTGAGATACTGATGGAGGTTTGCCCTGGGGAATACAGATGTGGAGCCAGGAAGAAATGCTCTGTGTGTGGTCCTTTGGAGAAAACTCACTTTTTTGTGTGCCTTGGCCCACCCCATGTTCACCTGGCGTGAACCTGCTTTGACCTGGGACTCAAAGGGCACGTCCCTTTGCTGGGGGCATTCAGGCGGAGGCCTGTGGGCGGGGGGTCATGAGCCGTAGTTTTCCTCATTTGTAAAACAGATTTATAATAATGACTCCATACTGTAGCTCTGGGCTGGAGGGGTTTCCCAGCTCCAGACAAGTTCACTCTGGATTCTTTGAGACCTAAACACGACAACAGAATGTTGGGGGTGGGGGTAAAAGGTTTAAGTTTTATTCTCACCGTGGCAGGTCAAGTGCTAGAGTCTCCTCTGCATCTGGCAAGTCCATCTCTGCCTCCGCCTCCGCCTCCGCCTCCTCCTCCTACTCCGCCTCTGCGCCAGCCTCTGCTTCCACTCTAGGCTCCGCTCCAGCCTCTGCTCGGCCCCTCTGCTCCACCCCAAGCACTGAGCGGAGCTCTTTATATAGCACCACAGGCAGCATTGGCTGATGGCCAGCGGGTGTGTAAGCTCTAGCCTATGCAGTAAACTGACTACATCATCAAGCAGATTAGGGTGAGCTGAGGATCCTGGCCATACATACTTCCATTTTCCCTACACATACCCTCATGTGAATTTTGTGGGCTAAAGTGTCTGGGAACATCCAGGGGCAGGTATCTGCCCAGAGGCTGCACAAAATACTAGTTCAGAAGTGGAGCCCGACTGCTTATGGCTGTTCCACCTGCCTGGTGGCTAGCTGAGTAATCTTGGGCAATTTCTCTGGGCCTCCATTTCCTCATCCGTAAAATGGGGTATTGTCTCCTACTTCCAGAGCTTTGAGGACAATTAGACAGGTTAACACATGTGAAGTGCTTAGAGCAGTGCCTGGCACACAGTGATGTTGGCTCTTAACTATTGTTATTCCACGGAGGGCTAGGGGAACATCAAGGTTAAGGGATGGATGGAGGGTAAGGAGCCTCTAACAAGTCCCAGAAGTAACAGCCATAGAGTTTGGAGGAAAACTAGGAGGATCGTGTGTCATAGAAGCCACAGCAAGAGGAAGTTTCTAGAAGGAAGGGTCAACAAGGTCAAGGGTGCTGAGAGGTCAGGCAAGGTGACAGCCAAGGGTGCCATGGATTTAGCAAGAAAGAGGTCCCTGGTGACCTTAGCCATTGCAATTTTGGTGACATCTGAGGGACAGAGGCCAGTCTGCAGTGTATTAAAAACATGGGAAGGGAGGAATTGGAGAGCATGGGGTGAAATATTTCAGTTGCTTGGCTGGGAAGGGATGCAACCGAGAAACAGCAGTGGCAGAGGGACAGTCAGGTCAGTAGCCATCTGTTTTGCCAAACACACATTCCATCCAGCCATCATCTCCTATGAGACTCATGACCTCTGGTCAGCTAAGCAGGGGAAATGTTAAAATTCATAACATATCCAAGCAGACACTTATGTAAACAGAACTCAAGAGCGGCAGGGCTGGGACAAAAGCCAGGCTGCTCATTTCCTCTCTCTTTTCATAATGCTGGTATGACTGCTAAAGAAGGGACTGAGCAAGAGAGCGTGGGGTGCTCAGTGCCATCCACCTGCTTTATCACACCTGTATCTCAAAGGACCCATCTGTGGAAGGTGGTTGGAGGAGGTGGCAGAGGAGGGTGGTGACAGGTTCCTTTAATGAAGGAGGACCTGACATTGGCTGGGTGCCCAACATGTTTGTCCAATTAAATCACATATCTGGGGGTAGGCGAAATCTTTGGCTGAGATTTCTAGTACTGGCTAGAAACAGGGGGGCAGGATGGACTCAGGTCACTGGAAGGAACACTGTCTATTTTTCATATCTGCCCTCCTCCACAGTCCTTTCTCTGCCGTCTTACATCTGGCTGGCTGGCAACAGCACTGGCCCTTGATTCTGATGCAGGGCAGTTGGGGGTGTGACTTGAAAGAGGATGTGTCACTTAGAGCCGTGCTTGTGGGAAGTGAAATGCATCCTGGCTCATTTGGGAAATGTCTTTATGTCAAGGACTTTGGAACAAGAAAACCGTAATGGTGTGATTTTGGAAAACCATGGCAGAAGAGACCCAGTGTGGGCTGGAGGAGTGTCCAGGGAGTAAACTGATGGATGTCCATCCAACGTGAAGCAGAAGCACAGCCGGAGGGCCGATGGGGCAGAACAGCCTTCATGGAGCACCGCCTGCGAGGTCTCTGCTGTTGCCATTCTGACATTCTTAGCTTTTGAATGCAGATCCCTCGTTTTCATTTTGGCCTGGAAGCTGGAAATGTTGTGAACTCTCCTGGTCGTGGGCACGGGTGGGTGGAACGCAGACTGTGGACTTTGGCTGGGTCTGGCAGGCAGCAGCCCTGAGTTGTGATGCTCCCCATGTGAACTTGGCTCTTGAGACTCACCCACCTCTGAGCAAGCTAGGCGAGAAACAGGACTTGGCCCATTTAGGATCAGCTCTTCAGAGCAGCTGTAAAGATGCCTCAGACAAACCTAGCAGGGAGGGAGGAAACACAGGAACTCTCGGAAACCACAGTAGGTAAGCTGTGCTGTGCTGGAAGCCTTTGCACACATTTCCATGTTAACCTCAGCAATCTTAAGATAGAGTCACTGTGAACCCAGGTTTAGAGGACATGACTCAGAGGTTCAGCAAGATGATTAGTATTTGCCAGGTGCTACAAACTGCCAACCAGGGCTAAAATGCAGGTGTCTAGACCTCAAGTCCATGCTCCTTCCACCACACCAGAGGACAGAGGTGAAGGCCGGGAGACCTGGCTGTCTGGGTTCTGGTGGCTGGCACATCTGAGGCCCAGCTCCAGTCTTGAGGGGCAAGTAGTGTGAGTTCAGTGTGTGAATCTGTAGTTGATTCAGCTCACTTGAGCCCAGGAGGCAAGACCTGGCAACGGCAGCATTTCTGGGGTGTGCCAGCTCTGAACTGAGCCCTGGGACTAGGCCTGAAGACACTGACAGAAGGGCATCCTAGCCTAGGCCAGCCTGGGCTCCCACCCTGTGGGCACAGGATGCACTGGAAAATGGGCTGTGGACCGAGGTGGGGCTCAGGCTGTTCACCTACCAATCCAGGAAGAGAAAGGCTCTTCAGGGGTCTTTTCCAGCAGCCTATGGGCCTGTCACCTGAATCACAGGGGGCCTTGCTTTAGGTGGGCATATTTTGGAGTAAAAAAACTGCTACTTCTTGCCCCTGCTTCCTTGCTCCGCAGGGTGGAATTGTGGGGGCTTTTTTCTCACTGTTCCTTGCACAGCCGGCACCATGTCCTGGCTTTCAGGTGGGGAGCAGAAATCCCACAGGGCTTCCCACTATCCTAGGGGCCCTGATCTTGCCCACCTTTCTCTGACCACAGCCCAGCTCTCCAGACAGGAGACATTGCCAAAAAATATCACAGAGGAAGAGTGCTGCCTGGGCGTTAAGAGGCAGAGCTGTCTTAAGGGCTCTGTCACTGGGTTCCATGTGACAACATATTTTTCCTTTCTGGGCCTCTGGCTCCTCATCTGTAATGTGAGAGGGCCCACCTCTCATTTGTCCTGCTCTGTGGGGACTGGGGTCCAGAGGGAGAAGGACAAAGGGCCAGTGTCCTTCTGGTGCCAGTCTGTGCATACCCAGCCTACACTGACTCCTCGGGTAACTCACAGGTGCTTGGCAAGGTGGACATTTTTGATTCAGGGCCAAACAGCTCAAAAACCACAAAACTGAATCTGTGACACTTCTGGATCCAAGCCCAAGTCTTGGGCTTCTTTGAACTTCTGGCTTCCTGGGTGTTAGAATCTAAGTTTTAGCTGGAAGCATTTTAAATGTGGCTTGGCTCTTAGGGTGGGGAGGGTCTAATGTCTCAGGGGTTGGGATCAGCCCTGTTAGGCTCTGTTGCCTTGATCCCCATTGGAGAGGAAAGGGTGACCCACCCAGCAGGCTCCTTCAGCATCATAGGCCTGACTCCAGGGGCCAGTCACACAAGGGATGGCTGATGGGCTGTTTGGGGCATGGTTTGTGGGCAGGAGTCCGCCTGCACATGGAGGCCCAGACAGTCACTTAATGGCAAACCAGAGAGGGTCTCGGTGGTCATCCAGGCTGGGGGCTTCTGATGGAGGGAAGCAGTAGGAGTGGATTACCGGGGGAGCCTTTTCAAGATACCCCACTGCCCTGGATTTAGAGTACAGAGGTGCAGAGTGAGGTTTAAGCACATGTCTTTTGCTACAAGTTTCCCAAATGGTCCTAATAGGATCCCATTTCCAGGGAAACAGTCACTGAGTTAAGCCACCTTCCCACTCTTTAGGTGAGGACACTGAGGCCCAAGTGGCGGGTGGGGGGAAGATGTGCTCAAAGGCCCACAGAAAATGAGCAGCAGGGCCCAGAGAGTCTGGCTCCTGATTCTCATGCTTTCTACCCTGAAGAAACCCACCTCCTCACCTGTCAGCCTGCCTAGACTCTTTCAAAATTCCCAGCCCTACTGCCTTCCCTTCATTCTGTCCCACAGCCTCTAGCATGAGCCCCTCAGTCCACACCACATATCTGGCCACACCCCTGTCCTGAGCAAAAGATTGCGTAGGGCCCTCTGCTGCCAGCAGGGTCAAGTCCCAAGGCCGGAGCCTAGAACTGGGATCCCGTGAAACCTGGCCCACGGTCCTCCTGACTTCATTTCTGGCCACTCCCTGCAGGCCAGGGTCCTTCCCCCACACTGCAGTGACACTAGCCTCCACACTGGCTAGTCTCGTGCTATAAAACAATTGTTCGATTTTCCTTAAGAAATATGTCACGTTTGTTTTCACAAAAGCCTATAAGCAGGTGTCATTATTATCCCCATTTAGACACGCAGCCCAGAGGTTAAGCAAGTGAAGAAGTCACACATTACATACCGGAGGCTGGGGCCCCGAGCCAGGAGGTCTCCCCGGAGCCCACTCTCATAACCACGGCTCCCCGTGCTCTCCACCCCGCCACTGGGACAATCCCACCTTCATCCTGCCAGGCCCAGTGGAAAGGCCACGCTGCACCCCAAAGAGCCCCCTCGCACTGGGTGTGCACCGCCTCTGGCCTGTGCATTATGGTGTCCTTACCTGTCGTGCCCACTCTCTGGTTTGCGTGTCTGGTTCCCTCTCCAGGTCCTGGCTCTTGTGGTCAGATCTCTTTGACCTGACTGCCATGCAGGAGCTGGTGCCAGAGGCCCTAGGAGTATGTTTGCTGAGTGAATGAGTGAAGGAATGAGCTAATGATACCTGAGATCTGGCACCAGGATTCCACACCACAGCACCCCCACCAGCACCCTCAGACACTGCAGGCAGCCTGGTCTCCACTGGGTGTGCGAGGTGCAGGAGACAGTATAACATAAACAGGACTTGGGCCTGTGAGCAGCAGAGCATGTGGAAATCCTAACCAAGGGGCCACTTAGTCAATGCTCAATGAAACAGTACTCTGCTCCCCTATTCCCCTCAATCCTGGACTATCTGAGGCTTCATCACAAGAATTAGGCTGCACAGCCATGTCCCCCATCTGGTCTCTTTCCTGTCTAATCTGGTGCTGCCCAGCTTTCTGTTGTCACCTGTGAGCACAGTATCCTCTCTGGCCCCTTCCTCTGCACCTGGCCCCAGCTGCCTCCTGAAAGTGCAAGCCTAGCCCCCAGCAAAGTGTCCCAGCTCCCCAATGCCTTGGAATGCACAGCCCTGTCTTTGTTTTCCAGGGCCTCTTGCACTGCACAGCCGTTGAGCTACTGGGCTGACAGCAACTTAGCCCATCGTGCTCAATGAAGTACGAATGTCTCGGCTCAGCTTACAAAGTTCTGCGGCATGTGGCCGACAGGGCTCTAGCTGCATGGCACTGCCACTGTGCTGCTCACTCACCAGGGCCTCCCCGTGCCTTCCACCTGGTCTGCTTGTTCCATCCTTATCGGCCAGCTTCCTGCAGGCTGCCCTGCCTGAGCTCCCAGGGTAAAGCAGGCTCGCCCTTCGGAGTAGGCACCCTGAACTATCATCACTGCTTGGGGGCCCGCACTCCTCCCTTGTCTGGGAGCTCCTAGAGGGCAGGAGTCCCTGCGTCGTCGTCATCTGCATTTCTGCCCCAGGAGTGCAATGACTGTTGGCTGGAGAAGAAGGAAGAAGAGGCCTTAACATCACTATTGCTGTCCTCTGCCATGGATGAGAAACAGAAGGCCTGGAGGTTGGGGGAGTCACACAGGCAGCAAGTGACGGAATTAGGATGAGCTCTGGCCCTCCTGTGCTTGTTTATGCTGCACTCCACTGTCTCCAACACCTGGCACACCTGGGTGGAGACCAAGCTGTGTGCAGTTTCCAAGGGTGCTGGTCGGGGTGCTGCTGTGCGGGATCCTGGGGCCAGGTCTCATTCCCGATGCATTCATTCATTTGCTCATTCCTCCACTCATTCACTCAGCAAACATCTTCTGAGGTCCAATGTGCCAGGCCCCGTGAATTTCTCTGTCCTGATTTGTAAGGATCAGGCTGAATTGTAACTGGCGAGCAAGCAGGGAAGGCCAGGCCCCAGTCCACTCCAAGGCAAGAGGCCTGGGAACCCCTGGGAGCTCTGGAGGAGAGGCTATCGGGTTGAATCCATACCTGAGCTCTGCTTGGTCTCCACCAATCCTCAGTAAATTGGTGCCGATTTCACAAAAGATGACTAATACAAAAACTCTTCTACAGGCACTTTCTGGTTTTCTAACTGCTAAGGAAAAGTGTGTTCATATGAGTAATGGTTCAGCATGCATGCTGAGAGCAATTCTTGTTTATCAATCCATCCTATGCCATTCTGACCCATCTCATGCAAGCCCACACATATTTTGTGAGTTACTTTCGCCCTCACCTTTGTGCAGGGCCTAGAGAAGAAGAGGCCGAGTTGGGGTGGGGGAGATACCCCCAGGGAGCGCAGCAGGAGCCCGTGCCTGGTCCTTCAAGTGCTGAGGGAGCTGAGGAGAGGGTGTGACTAAGTCTTTCCTCTCCCCCCTTTCCTGTCCTGGGCTCGTGGTGGCAGAAGGAAAGGGGAGATAGGGGAGGTGATTTCCTGGAGAGGCAGCCCCATCCCCTTCTTGAATGAGCCAGGCTGCACCCCCAGGAGGCAGGGACGAGTGAAGTATTTCCTGAGTGGCCCCGTTGGCCCAGCAGCAGGTCTCAAGTGAGTCTAAAACACCGACAGTTACACTCAGCAGATGGACCACACACCTTTATCTCTTTTAACCAAAATGACAGTACAGGAATAAAAAAGAATCCAGCTGCAGGGACAAAGGACAGTGACAATGGCGGGTTAGTGGTTCCATTACTTCCAGTCCTTTTGGGTGGCCGGAGCCGGTGGGGTGAATGGGCATGGCTGGAGCAGAGCAGCAGGTGGTGGTGAAGGCCTGGCTGAAGGAGCATCTCAGAGGCGGCCGCGTGCGGCAGTCTGATCACCAGTGTTCAGGTCCATCACCTCGTCTCTGCAGTGAATTCCCATTATGACCTTGGGAAAGTCAGTTCCCTCCTTCTGAGATGCCTTGTTCCCATTTGTAATATAAACATATATTGCATATGTATCTGTAAAATACACTGGATACCTGATTCTCATCTTCTGGTGCCTGAATTACCGGGAGTTTTTCCTCCTAACGTGTAGGCACATACGTTTTGATTCTGATTATGGAACAGGGCCAAAGCATTTGCATTTTTCTAAAAACTCTCCCAGGAAACTTTAAGAGCCGTTGTTGCAAATGGTTTTCAGGGATCTTTCAGCCCTGACGTGAGGTGTTAGGCTGGAGAATACACTGAAAAGAAGGGCTGCAGGGATATAAGGCCTGCATGTGGGTGACCCAGGGACAGGGGGTTTCCAAGGAGGCTGAATGACTATCTGTTGGAGAGAGCAGAAGGGGCTTTATGGAGACAGTGGCATTTGGAATGGGTAGAAAGTTCTCAGAGGAAGGCAGCGAGGAAGGCCCCACAGGTGATAGAATAGGAACAAAATCTTAGAGATGGGAAAGCGTGCAGCATTCTCAAGGGATTGCAAATATTCAAACATGCAGGAATCAGTGGAGACGTTGCATGAGGAGCCAATGAACACCAGGGTGAGCAGCTTGTACTTCATCCAATTGACAAGGGGAAGCCATGCAGGTTTTTGAACCAGAGAATATGCCTTCAGAGCAGATCAGCCTAGCCAACCCTCTATGGTTATATGATGCGTGTGGGCCTCATGATTTTAATACATGGATGCGGCCCAGCCAGCAATATTTTCTTGAGCACCTACTGTGTGCTATTTATTCCAAGCACTGCGTGCAGTATCCTCACGACTTGGCCCTTCCGTAGCTGTATAGTCGCATCCCTCTCCAGCCACCTCCCACTCCTGTCTCTCTCCTGACCTCACACTCCAGGTCTTTCCGACCTCTCGGAATGAATCTGCTCCTTGCTGCCTCTCTGTCCTGACATAAGCTCCTTCCTCTATTGTCACGCCCCCTCCCAGGTCAGCCCATCTGCAGGAGACTCTGCTTAGACGGCATTCCCCTGGGAGGCCACCAGCACCTGTGGACAGTGCCCCGTTCTCTCTGCCCTCCACATATCCTCACAATGGATGGTTTTACTTGTTTATTTGAGTGTCAAAGGGCAGTGAGTCAAGGTCAGACACCACACCTCACTGGGAGCTGTCTTCCCTGGGCCCATCCAAGGACCTAGAACACTGTTGAAGTGTGGAGTGATTGAAAAACTAGAAATACCAAGTAGTGGGCCAGGCACTTGACACAGCAGATCTCATCTAATTCTTATCCACATCCTGAGACACATGTTACTATTCCCATTTTGCAGGGGCATGTGGCTTGGGTGAATTTACGCAACCACTAATTTTTAGAACTGGGGTTCAAACACCTGTGTGTCTCGGTCCTGGTCCAGGGTTCTGCTGCTCCGCCATTTTCTGGGACAGTAGCTCCATCTCCGCGTGGAAAGACGTGGGGTGGGAGAAGCCACAAACAGGCCACTTCCTCTCACCCACCTCTCTCCCTGGCCCACTCAGCAGGGACAGCTCCTACTCGTTTTCTCAAGATCCTTATCTGCTCCTCCACTCAGGGAAGTTACCCCACACCTTGCACACCACCCAGGAGAGGTGGCAGGAGTTTTCCATGTGGTCACTGGACACGAATAACATTCTCTTCTCTCTGTGACTTCCCCACCTCTGCACAAGGTCTGGGAAACCCCACCGAGGCCTTCTAATAAAAAGCTCTGGCACTGCAGGATGGGTCAGGGACAGCTCTTAGCTCCACCAGATGCATCGAGGCTGCTTCACCGGGGCCGGCGCTGCACTGCCCAAGATGAAACTCGTCACCATGGCCCTGGCGTGTCTGCTGCTGGCTACGATGTGGCTGCAGGATGTGGACAGCAAGAGCAGTGAGTGGGGCTGGAGGCACCTTGGGGAGGGCAGAGGCTCAGGCAGGCACTCTGGGGATGGAGCGGACTCACTGCCTCCCTCTCCCCTCCTCTGGGAAGAATACTTGCAGGAGAGGCAGAATGGAGGACTTGGGTGGGGTGGGGTGGGGCAGGGGCGCCAATCTGAGAACCGTGAGTCTGGGACAAAGCCAGATGGCTGAGCTGCTAGCTTCAGCAAAAGGAAGCCCTGCCTCACCCAGGCCTTGCAGACTGATGGAGGGGAACTGGGAGGCTACGTAGGCCAAGCCTGAGGTCCAGAGCAGGGACTGGGTTTTGTTTCCACAGTGCAGCAGGCAGAATTGGCAGTCAGGACTTGGGGCTGTAACAGTTGGCTCACCTTGGGCAAGTCACTTTAACTCTCAAATTCTGGGTTCTCCATCAGTGAAATGGGATCGATAATGCCCACTCCCCGAGGCTGTTGAGAGAATACTGACCTAATACGAGGCACACAAAAGGGGCTTTGTAAACAGTAGAACTAGGAGGAAGGAACCAGGATTGGAACGCAGTTCTCTGGGGTTGTGCGTGGGAGAGAGCGTGCTCACGGCTCACAGCAGAGTGGCTGTGAGTGGGGTCCGGGGACCCAGGGAGGAGGGCCTCATGGAGAGGGAGTGGGGAGCTGCCTGCTGAGTGTGTGGACGCTGTTGCCTGTCATTCCATCAGTTTGAACTCCTTGAACAGTTCCTAATCCTGCCCCAGGTCCATGGATCACAGTTGCCCTGCATGTACCAGACTCACTAGGCCCCCAGAGTGTGGCGTCCAGAGCCCTTGAGCCCCAATATTGGGGTGGAACTATACACTCATGGTGGGCTGTCAGAACTGGAAGGGCCTTTAGAAATCAGTCTAGGAAGTCCTATTCCACAGATGGGAGGCTGTGCTCATCGTGATCAAGGCCACACAGCTCGTGTGTGGGGAGCAGGAATCTGAATTCCGGTGTCCCGACTCTCCCTGAATATAGAACTAGGTGGCTGGTGACACAGTGCTGCACCAGAGTCCCCTGGATGTGGTGGTCCCCAAGCCTGGGCCTGTCCCAGAAGGCATTTTTTTGGTTGTTTTTTAAATCATCTTGGATGCAAAAAACAAAGTCCTGGTTGAGAAATGGATGCAAACCATTTTTGTGCTTCTCTCTTAGTGATTGTGTCATCCTCCAACTGTTGCTACACATTTGTGGAGAAAAAGATTTCCCAGAAGAGGATTCAGTGTTACAGAAACCAGTTCCTCCTGCCCCTACTATGGTGGTAGAATGTGAGTGGCCCTCCCTGTCAACCCCAACTCCCTCCTGCCAGGAACAGAAACCGGCCCACATGCAATTAGAATGGCAGACACGAGATGGAGCTATTCACCACCAGATTAAGGTTTTCAAACCCAGCCGGCGAGGCCGTCAAAATCTTGGGTGCAGAGCCGGGCTGGGCGCCTGGGGGAGCGCTGCGCTTCCTCGTAGGTGCCAGGTCACCATCAGATTAAGGTTTCCAAACCCAGCCGGCGAGGCCATCAGAACCTTGGGTGCAGGGCCGGGCTGGGCGCTTGGGGGAGCGCTGCGCTTCCTCGTAGGTGCCAGGAACCGGGCTCCCCCAAGTGACTTGCTTCTTGGAGCGCTAAGCTATCAAGAATTATATCTTAATACTTTGTACCCAGGGGAAGGAATTGTTTAAAATCTCCAGGAATTACTGCGTAGTGGAAAAAATAAGGGGTGGGGGTCACAATTAGTGCCTGCTTCTGGATTTGCCAACCTCTAGCCTTGGGCGACCGTGGGCAGGTAACTCGCCTGCACCTTATTATCTGGACAATCCTCTGCATCTTTAGCTTGAAAGAGGCGTCAACATGAAGCTTGACTGAGGTCGCTTTCACTTGCCACTCAGTGTCTTTAAGGCACTTCCACGTATATTATTTCTGCTGACTTTCTTGGGGCACACACTTTCATTATCATGAAAACTGAAGTTCAGGGAAGCAGAGAGATTTGTCTAAGCTCACTCAGATAATAAGGGCAGAGTTGGTCTATCGCTTAGATGATAGCCATATTTAGGAGGTGGACAGTCCAGAAAGAAACGCATGTACAAACACACACAGTGAACCCAAAGCAATGACTAAGGGTCCCAGATGGACACAGACACATGAAAAGATGGAGAAGGAGCCGGGGCCCTCGGAGATATTCTAGGTGGAAATTTCCCGGGCTAGCTAATCCTCAGAATGTCTCCGGCCTTCACTCCATGCTTGTACACTGAACTGTGCTCTCCAGAAAAGGGGTTTGGGAAACTCAATTTGATAAGCTCCCCCTGAAGCTTGGGTGTCCCTCCCAATGTGTGAGCCACACGTCACATGCAACGACTTCATTTTACAGGCCCAGAGAGGCAGCTTAGGGACACCCAGCAGCGAGGAGTGGGAGGTGGGACTTGTGTGTGGCACCCAGGGGTGACTCAGATGACTCAGCTCTTTTGTTCTCTGCTCACAGAGTCGAGCTGAAGGGAGGCTGAAAGATCTGTGCCTTGAACACAGCCCGATGGATGAAGAATGTGTTAAAAGGGATAAAAACCTGCCCGTGAAAGCACGTGTGAGCAGATTCCTTTCCACCCTGAACTCCAGAGACCTCATGGTGTCACCTGTCCCTGCAGCCCCCAACCCCACACCAGTCCTTTTGCCCAACTTTACCAGGTTGTGGAGGGTCTGCTTGGTCTTGATAAGCTATGTTGTTGCACTTATGTATTTAAATTCTGGAATCTTCGTCTCCTGTTTCCCTGTACCTCTTGGACCCCACGGGAATTCCAGGATGCAAATTTGATTGGGGACAGGGGCAGGTGGGTAGGGGAGAGCGGGCACACTTGTTGGACTTGGTGCTAGTCCTCCTTGTCAATAGGATCCAATAAATGACTGACATCTCCCAGCTGACTGCCTTTGTCCTGGGGGGGTGAGCGTTCACTCACAGCTGTGATGCAGATTCTCTGCTTCTGGGTTTGGCAGTGGGGGGTAGGCTCAGTGAAGCAGCAAGCAGGGGGCTCCTGGGTGCAGGAGCCTCTCCCTCCCTTCCGTGCCCAAAGGGGCTGATGTCATCCAAAAGTCACAGCTGCCCTAGTGGGAGGGGATCTTGTGAGTTCATCTGCCTCTAAGATGTTGTTAGCCCCATTTGATAGATAAGGTGACAGAGGGCTGGAGAGGGACACCAACAGGCATGAGGATACAGAGCAAGTCAGGGAGAGATCTGGCACTCAAGCCCAGGGCTCCTGCTTCCCAGGCCAGAACTCTTTCCCGTGTTCCAAACTGCCAAGTGACCACCTGACCCAGCATGGCTCAGGAACCCTCTCTCCACTGGAAAGACCCTGCAGAGTTGGTTAGCAGGACCTTGTCCTGGGAAAGAAGGGTCCTGGTGAGTGTGCAGGCCCAGGTGGGTCCTAGATCTTACAGAGATGCCAACGCAGCTCATCCACTCACCTGGGGAAAGGCAGCTTTGGGAAGAGCAGGAGAACCCTTCACAAGCAGGAAGATAAGGCCCTGTCCCTTTCAGAGGGACAATCAAAGGCTTTAGCTTGTATAATGCATGACTAGGGAGACTAGCAAAGGAGGGAAGAAAATTCTGGGTCTCAGGACTGGCACCCTTTAAAGGCCAGTGTGGTGGCTCTAGGGGAGAAATTCCCTGCTTTGCCCCATTTCCTCTTGCCTGGACTATTGCAATAGGCTGCTCTCAGTTCTTCCTTGACAGCTTTTTCCTGCCCATGGCCACAGGCTTCTCTTCCCGGTATCCCTCTACCCTGGCATCCCCCTGCCCTCCTGATGGCTCCAAAGCCTTCAGTACATACCTCCTGCATTCAGAACTAACTCCAAACTCCCCATCTTGGTATTGCAGTTCCTCTAAAACCATGCCTCAACCTTCCTTTCTAAGCAACTCTAATGTTTCCATTCTGGAGCCCAAAGTGACAAAATGGGGATTTTTCCTCCAGGCCTTCTCCTCACTTTTCCATTCTGCACCTCTTCTAGAGAATCTTTGCTATGACCATGCTGTGCTATCCTTCAAGGCCAGTTGTGCCCAAGTCCCACCCTCTCTGTCAAGTCCAGGACTAACTAGGACTGGGGCATCTAGTGCTCCCCTGGGGGTCAGGTGCACGTAATGTCTGTATTACTCTGGGGACTGCTCAGTGCCGGGAGGCATATGGGTAGAGACCAGTTAGAAGCTGATGCTAGCGAGTGGAACACTCATTCTAGAATATCCTGGGATGGCAAGCCAGGCCCTCCCTGACACATTCAGAGGAGCCCAGGTTGGCCACAGGAAAGGCTTCGCTATATCCTCATTCCTCTGGCGCCCCTGCCATCCACCTGCACCTCGGAGCACTGCTTACTGGTCGGGCTGAGAAACACTGTTAGAGATTTTAAACAAAGTGTATTTTCTGCAAAGAGTCAGCAATCTTATGAATTGCATTCTTCTATTACATATTTAGTAACACCTTCCAATCACAAGGCACTCTCCTCCCTAGACTGTCTTCATCTCCATGATCCTCAGGGACATACTCACAACCCCTGGAAAGTTAAGCAGGAGAGAGAACTGCTCCCTCCAGGGGAAAGATCTGGGGCTCATCAAGGAACCAATTGGCTTGAGGTCTTGCTTTTTTTAAAAAAAAAAGATCACCAGTATTCAAAATAAACACCAAACCAGCAACAATTCAAATACTATTAAATATTACTTATGACGTAGTACATTTTATATCCCACAACAGAAACCACCCTACTTGAAAATTACAGCAGAATTAGTCCAGGGTATAGACAGGAAGGCTGGCGGAGCATAAACAGTCATTTCTCATACTCCGGCTTCGTCTCAGTGGTTGGAAGAGTTCTAGTCTTCTGGGTACGAGATTGTTGATCTAGGTGTTTCATGTAATTCTGGACCCACATCTCCTTTGGGGAGACACAGATGTCCTTGCCCAGTTTCGTTCTGAGGCTGAGGGTGAAGGAGTGCCATACAGTTAGATGGAGCTCTTTGAGGGTTTTACCTAAGAGATGACTCAGATTCCAAAACCTGCTTGGCCCACCTGCTGTAGGTAAGGGAGCCACCCCAGGACAAGAGGAAGTAGGGGTGTGGGAAGAAGGGGCCTGGCCTGTGGAGGTAGTTGCCATTTTTGCCACCCTGGGAGGAGCTGGCCTGGCATCTGCCAAAGCGGCGTGGGGGTGTGAGCTAGGCTGTTTAGGGAGTGAGGTGGCCATCTCTGGGCCAGTTTATGATGTAATAATAGAGGCTTTGGATTACATAGTCTGGGTAGATCTTGTCCTCTGATATAAGATCCCAAATTAGTCTGACGTCTGTCTTCTGGGGCAGAACTTTGGATTGGAGTTGGGGAGGGAAGGGGAGGGGGAAGGAGGACAGGGGTTTTCTACCCACATGACAGCTTCCTGGGGACATTGGCTGCTGGTGATTCGATAGCCCTTCAGCTTCTGCAAGGGGATCCTCTTATTATTAAATGTAAAACAGCAAGTGGACAGGGCACTGAGTGCATCTAGAAATAAAGTCACAAAGAAAAAGCCTTTTAGGAAGTGCTCGGGTTTCCTCAGCATGAATGCAGCAGGATATGTCTATGGGGGAAGGAAAGCAAAGAGTTAGGAATGGATCTGATGTGCCCCAGGTCCAGTGCTTCCACCCCGGTCCCGAGGCAGGGTGGGACCTGGAACATGTGGCTTAAGATTTTGAAGTCCCTTCTCTCAGCTGCAGGGTGGGGATGCATCACTGCTGAGCAGGAGAGGCCAATGTGACAGGTCCTGGATATGACCCCCAATCTGCAGAGTTTGGGAAGATCAACTGGAGTCAAAGAAAAGGCCCTGGATTTGGAGAGGGCAGCTTAGGTTTTATTCCGGTTCTAGGACGACTGGAGGTGTGGGGGTAGGACCCCTCCTAGCCCCCACCTGGACTTCAGCTGTCTGTCTGTAAAATTAGCTGTGTTAAGTGCAGCTCTGAGGATCCCTGGTGCTCTGATAGGGTCAGAAGTGGGACAGTTTGACTTAGGCCTTCCAAGAAGGAGAGAGAAATGGAAGAAGAGGGAGGGAAGGAAGGAGGGAGAGAGATGGAGCTTACCTGGCTGAGCGAGCATCTGGGTGCTGAAGGTGGCTGTCGTGAGCAGCAGGCACAGAAGCGCTGCAGAGACCATCAGGTTGGAGGCTGGGTGTGGGACCTTCAGGGCAAGATGGGGTCTGAGGTTGGCTCAGCCTGTCTGCTCCTCCAGCTGCTCTGCCTGCCTTTTATAGGAAGCAGTCGGTGGGGAGCTCCCAGAGGGATGGACAGGGTCATGGTCAAGTCCAGATGGAGAGGGGTCCTGAATTTGCTGAGCTGGAGGCTGGGCTTCCAAGGAGTTTTCCAGGAAATGCAGGCGGGAAGCTGTGGGCTGCAGCAGGGCGGGCACAGTTTCCTTCCAGCTGCCCAGGCCAGAGGAAGTGGGAACACAGATGTGCCGTCACTCACCACAGGCAGTGATCCAAGGAGCTGTTCCATGGCCTTGCTTTCTCCAAAATGAAAAATAACCCCTGTAGAGAAAGAGCACTGTGCAAGGGCTTCACACAGTTTGTATTTAGTCCTGACAAGGTGTCCCCCATTATCGCCACACCCATTTACAGATGAAGACGCTGACAGTAAATAACTTGTCCAAAGTCTCTTGGGGAGTGAGCGGTAACACGGAAAGAGAGAGCCAGTGTGCTTACATAAGAGTACAGGAGACTTCATGCTTGCATTGAGCTGCAGAACCCTCTTTCCACCCAAGTTTTATGAGGAAGTCCAATGCTTGAGACAAATCAAAGACACATTCTGATGACAGGGGCTCCTCACATCGCATGCTTGTGCGATGTCCCCTTCTGCCTCTCAGGCCCATGGAGATAGAGTTGAAAAGCACTGATTTGCCCAGGCTCCTTGTTTTCCGGAAGCACTATTGAGTTTCTAGAGCTGTTGGCAGGAGGGGGTGGGAGAGAAGGGCAAGGACGGGGTTCCTTGCTTCTGTGCCTGGCTCCCTCCTGTGATGGATGTGTGCCCTAGCCAAGAATGGGAGCTGCAGTGGGCATGGTGGGAGGCCAGGAACAGCAGTGGACTCCCACTGGAAATTTACAGGGCCCTCTGCCTCAGTGACCCCCTCCCCATCTCAGTCCCGGCTCCCAGACTTGGCTCACTTCTTGCACTTGCCTAGAATACCCTCCCCTCCATTTTCCATTCTCGTGAATCCTTCCACTCTGGCAAAACTCCAGTGAGAGTAAAAGCAAGGAAATAAAGAGCTACGATGAGCGAAATAGAAAATGATGTATATTAGAAAGGATGGACAAAGCCCAAAGTCTATTCTTTGGCCAGTCAATAGTGAAACTAGCACTCTCTTGAGACTGACCATGAAAATAGACAACAGTAGGAATAGAAGAGGGTGTCACCACTCAGCCTGCAGACACCAAAAAGAAAATGAGAACCTTATGCCAATAACCAGAATTTGGATGAAATGGATGAATTTCTAAAAAAATATAATTTACTAGATTGCAGGAAAAAATGAAAGAGCAAGTAACTCTAAAACTATTAAAGAAATTGGATCAGCAATTGAAGATCACTCTGAAAACATTCAAGAGTTTTAACAGCTGGTTATTCTAAGCATTCCAAGAACTCAATTCCAACTTCACTCAGTCTCTTCCAGAGTATATCAGAGTGTACACTCTTCAGCTTGTTTTATTTGTGACTCGTACATAATTTTGATACAAAAAAACTTGTCAAGAACCACATGAGAAAAGACTGCAAGCTGTCCTTCCAGATGTATTCTATTCTCGCCCATCCTCTTTTCGGGAAGCCAACCTGTGTGGATCACATTAATGGGACTGCAGGTCTTCTGGCTTCAGGTTGGGCTTGGACACTGGGAGCCTCTCAGGCACTGGAGAGGGAGAAGAGAACAGGGGAAGCACCCATTTCTCTTCTGTTCCTCCTGGATGCAGCCCTCAACCAATGGCTTTCTCATCTCTCTAAGTGGCCTTCTTCATCTAGCTTTGGGGAACCAGTGCCTGCACTTTAGGGGTGGTCACCACACTGTTACTAGCCTCTGAGGACTGAAGCACCCCTGTGATTCCTTTACACCCAGCCCACATCTTGGTAAATAGGCTCTTAGGACACCTTCCTCAAATCATTCAAGTGTTACCTATTTCTTTCCAAGATCATGACTAACATAGGTTTAGGTACCGGAAATGGCTTCTGAAAGTAGACCTTCTAAGGGGAAAATGGAAGTTCCTATGGCCAGGATCCTCACCCAACCCTAAACTACTTGATAATGTAATTGGCTTACTGCTTCACACCCACAGGCTATAAGCTATTATTGACTGAGTCACTATATAAAGAGCTCTGCCCAGTGCTCTGGGTAGAGGCAGAGATGGAGGAGTGTTATGGGACCTACAGACTGCTGGATGCAGACATGGTTCTTGTGCTCGACCTATCACCAGGAGAATAAAGCACAGGTATAAATCCTTTTACCCCAAGAACATTTCATTGTCATTTCTCAGTCTCACCCAATCCATAGTGAACTTGCCTGGGGCTGAAACCTTCAAGCAAGACACCTTCCAAACAGGGTTCTGCGGTTGGGTTGCTTATATGTTTTAGAGGCACCACAGTGGCATCTGTTAGCATCATGATTACTTAAGCTGTTACCAGTAGTTGTACAGCAGACTGTGTTTGACAAACCCTCAAGATGATTGTGATGTGCACTAAAGTTTGAGGACTGTGGAATTACAGCATATCCCCTGGCCTTCTCTGATCTAAAATGAAGCCTCCAGAGAGAGGTCACCACACTGTTACTAGCCTCTGAGGACTGAAGCACCCCTGTGATTCCTTTACACCCAGCCCACATCTTGGTAAATAGGCTCTTAGGACACCTTCCTCAAATCATTCAAGTGTTACCTATTTCTTTCCAAGATCATGACTAACATAGGTTTAGGTACCGGAAATGGCTTCTGAAAGTAGACCTTCTAAGGGGAAAATGGAAGTTCCTATGGCCAGGATCCTCACCCAACCCTAAACTACTTGATAATGTAATTGGCTTACTGCTTCACACCCACAGGCTATAAGCTATTATTGACTGAGTCACTATATAAAGAGCTCTGCCCAGTGCTCTGGGTAGAGGCAGAGATGGAGGAGTGTTATGGGACCTACAGACTGCTGGATGCAGACATGGTTCTTGTGCTCGACCTATCACCAGGAGAATAAAGCACAGGTATAAATCCTTTTACCCCAAGAACATTTCATTGTCATTTCTCAGTCTCACCCAATCCATAGTGAACTTGCCTGGGGCTGAAACCTTCAAGCAAGACACCTTCCAAACAGGGTTCTGCGGTTGGGTTGCTTATATGTTTTAGAGGCACCACAGTGGCATCTGTTAGCATCATGATTACTTAAGCTGTTACCAGTAGTTGTACAGCAGACTGTGTTTGACAAACCCTCAAGATGATTGTGATGTGCACTAAAGTTTGAGGACTGTGGAATTACAGCATATCCCCTGGCCTTCTCTGATCTAAAATGAAGCCTCCAGAGAGCTCTTAAGGATGCTGCTCTTTCATCAAGGCCTCGTCAAAGCATCCCTTAATGCCTTGGTAAAGGAAGGGTGTCTGGCCTTTCCTGAGAGTGCATTAGAGAAGGCTGGGCATCTTGCATACAATAGATCCAACCAAACAGATCCACTTTCCTGAGCCTTTGGACTCCTTCCTACCATCACAGGGATGTTCCAGCATTTCAACTTCATTAACCATAGGCTTATTTTCCAGTCTAGACTCCAATCAGCCAATCTAGCTGAACATTAACATCAGAAACCTAATGCAAGTCTATAGGACAGAATCATGGCCTTTCATCCAGTTACTAGATTTAATTCAGTTCTTAGATCCGGAGTGCCCAGAAAGGTGGGACCCAGTTCCCTTTTAGGAAGGACCATGCAATGCTAGGTTGCCAGATAAAATATGGGACACTTAGGTAAATTTGAATTTCAGATTAACAATGAATACATTTTTAGTATAATTATACCCTTGGCAATATTTTTGCTAAATCTAGAAACTCACAAGTTTATACTGTAAATCTTCCCCAGAGGAACCTGCTGCCATATAACCAGGGTGACTCTGCACTGGGGAAAGAAATACTGAGACCTTCTGGGATTATTTGATATTGGCTTTAAATGGATGGTATTCTCTGGACCCTCCAAAATCCGGCCAACCCACCACTCAGAGGGAGAGTTTATGGAGGTTCTATACCAGTTACTCAGTTATGCCAGGGCAGAGCTCAGCTAGCTCTTCTCTGGCTCAGTGACATTTATACAATATAAGTCTCCTAGAATTATAGAATCCTATAATTTTGGAATCATTAAGTTGCTGTGGCATCCTGCAACCTGCCTGTAGCCCTGGGCAATCTTAGTTCCCTGCTGTCTTAGATGAGAACATGTAAAGTTGGCTTCACTTGACAATGTTGTGGTTTTCAGAGGCTTGTTTGCCCACTTAAGTCTATTCTCATGATTTATCGGGATGCCGTGATGTGTAACAGATTAAAAAAAAAATTGCTCAGGGAAGCAGAGCTGGGCCACCTTGTGCTTAACACTTCTCCCTGTCCATCTTATTGTACTCTTCAGGGTTCTAAGGACTATTGAGCCACAGCAACCTTTGCACTTTATAGAACAGATATCCGACCACTGGAGTGGCTGATGGAAAGGGAGGGGGCCAGCACTGACTGGCCTTCTCTGCCCTCAGACTCGGTCTCTCCAGAGAAAGGCAAAGCCTGCAGAGGAAGAGGATACTGTCATTTTGACCCTGGAGGAGGAAAGTCCATCTACCAGCCCTGAAAACAGTGCAAGACTGCTTGCCTTCCTTCTTGCTTCCAACCACCTTCTCTCCTAGATCCATGTTTGCTTCTAATAGCTCATCCACAGTAACATTCTTCTCATCTGGCCCAAACAGGAATTACTCGAGGCCTGGCTTACATTGTGTGTCACTCATGTAGGCTTCCAGCCGATGCCAAATCTTTCTCTGAAATGGTTGAAAAAAATTTTCTTTTACAGAAAACAAAAGCACTAATAAAAAAGGAACATATTGATAAATGAACTATATTAAAATTAGGAAGCTGTTTTCATCAAAAGGCATCTTTAAGGGAGTGAAAAGGAAAATCACAGATTATGAGAAGATACTTCAATTAACACACCCAACCAAAGATTCCTATTCAGAATATAAAAAATGCTTCTAATACATGAGAAAAAGATGTCAATCTAAAAAATCTAAAAAAATGGACAAAAGACAACATGGACTAGGACCCAGTAAAGGAAGATATAGAATAAACATTTGAATAGATGCTCAACTGCACTAGTCATGAGTAAAAGGTCAACTTAAACCACAATTATCT